GTTCTAGGGTTCTAGGGTTTAGGGTTTTAGGGTTTAGGGTTTAGGGTTTTAGGGTTTTTGGGTTTTTGGATTTAAGCTTCATGGGACTTAGTAACTAGGGTTATAACTAAGGTAACTATACTTATAGTTGCTTAAAACCCCAATTAAGGTACTTATAACTGTACTTATTAAGTCCCATGAACCTTTAAGTAGGGTTTAGGGTTTAGGGTTTACCCGCAACCTTGAACCCTAAACCACCGCTGCGAAGACTGCCCTGAGAATCAGGATCCGAAACTTCTGGTAAGCCCTAAGGGTCCAAAGGGCCTTGTATTTGGGTATTTGGTTTTGGGATCGTAGTTTTGCATAGTATTGGGGACTGTATGTGATCACGTGCTTGGACCCTTAGGGAAGCAGCTGTAAAGTGCCCCCTAAACCCTAAACCCTGGCTCCAGCTGAAGCCGCAGGTCCTCTAGAGGAGACCTCCTCGATGCAATTTCCCATGTACACCGTGGCCGTGAAGGAGCCACGTGATAGGGATCATGATCACGCTTGTGATTGTGATGTAAGCTGCTGTTATCTATGTTCACAAGATCCGAGCCATACAACTGGCGAGCCAATAAAGACGGATTACATTGGAGACTCTAGTACTTCGAAGTGGGTGGAGGGAGCCGGCTTAGACAAGGGGTTCTAGAGGTTCTGTAAGGGTTGCTTTCAATGGTTCACAACGCTTCTAGACGGCGTTAGGGTTTAGGCCCTAACTCCGAAACCCTTGACAAGGACGATTAGTTTGAGTCTGTTGGGTCCAAAGACCAACGTTGGGGCACTTGACCCTTAGCGTAAGCTTTCAATAACAAAGCTCCCTAAACCCAGAAACTCGTCTTGACACCGGCTTGTTAAGCCAGGGTTTGGGGTTTAGGGTTTGAATCCTCTCAGGACTTGCTGGAGATGGGTGAGATCGATCCCCACGAGGTGTTGAAGGACCGGCGTGCGTGGGCTTTTTCCGAGACAGCTAAGGATCTATATTTGTTCATAGAGTTTGGAGTTTGGCAGGGTTGCAAAGAGGTGTTATTCCCAAACCACAACCCCAAACCCTAGACCTTAAACTCTTAAACCCAGGAGGTTTTCTGCATGGTTTACTGCAGCTGTACGTTGCTCCTTCCACTTAGGGGGCGTCCTGGGAATGGAAGCAGAAGGGTACGACATGGTTCGGCGAGGAGGGCTCGCATGAAAGTCTCTGGTTCATTCAAGGGTTTAGGGTTTCGGGGTTTAGGGTCCCTAAGCCCCGAAACCCTAAACCCCAAACCCTAAACCCTCAACCCTAAACCTTGAATCCAGTTCCCCAAACCCAAACCCAGAAATTAGGGAGGTTCGGGGTACGGCTTAGGGTTTGGGGTTTAGGGGTTTAGGGTTTAGGGTTTAGGGGTTTAGGGTTTAGGGTAGTTTAGAGTTTAGGGGTTTAGGGTTTAGGGTTTGGAGTTGTAGATTATGCACGTGTAAAGTATTGTCACCTTGTGCATCAATATGGATGACTGTTGCCGCAGTGCTCTGACTAGTAAAAGAATCCGCGTGCAATGGT